GATCTACAGGTTCGATAGAAAGGTTGACCGCCCACGAAAAAAATGAAATAAGGAGCTGAGAGGATCCGTTTAGAGGACCGCTCATCCAGAGATGGGAGGGAATTTTGATGCAATATTCTTGTGGACCACGAAATCTCAATTTTGGTCTGCAGCTGTACGGCTCAGCTCCATTCCTACGTTGTTTCTTGGGTACCCCCTAGGAGGCCCATCGCGCGGCAAGAAGACAGGGTGTGCGATGTAGGACGTGCAGTGGGACACTCTATTTAACTTGACGCGAAATCCCTACAGTACGCGCGCGACTCGTCCGCTGACTTTGCCTTCTTGCCGCGCGACGGGCCTCCTGGGGGTACCCGTTTCTTGGATTTCGCAAAGATGTGGGACATTTGAAACGGGATGTGGCGAAGAAGCACTATCCAGCCTAAATACTGGCACTACAGGCATTTTGTTGTGGGAGGGGTCTCCAGATTGATGAACGAATTTCCTTGTAGAAACAAATTTCACATTTTGTGAAGAGCTACTCTGCTCCTTCTCCCTTGTAGGTTTAGATGGAAAATTCCGGCAGCTCTGGTCTACCTAGGCAGTTCTGTTACAAACATGCCCCCCCCCCCGCTAAGTAGACAGCGACTGAAAAATCATATATACTTATAATTATATAATTTTAGGCTGTTACTCACCTAGTTTCTTTTGTGGACAAACGATCCTGGAACCTCCTCCGCGTGTCCTCTAACAACACGAGCAGCAAGAGATTTTTTTCGAGGAGCACTGATTGGGTGAGCACCGATTGAAATAAACTACAGGGCAACGTGCTAGGATCGATGATAGGCCACCGGGCGGGAAGAGGTGGGTGAGTCGTGGGTGTCCTGGGGCCAAAGTCCACCTATCTGCATTGATTTTTTGTGATAGAAATTTTTACGGATTTCAGTACAATCGGGCAACCTTTGCGCTCTTCTCTGCATCTGTCAAGGGAGGACAGAGAGGAGAACAGAAAATTGGAGTTCAGACGCACAAAGACGGGTGCTATACGAGTGAGGGGGGGCACGGCACATTTTTTTGAACGGAAAATGTATGCTAAGTGAGTACTGCTGCCTTCGCCTACTAGACTGTAATGGAGAAACCGAGGACATTCGTGACGCCAGCGGGATGATAGCCAACTACCGGAGGTGGAGTGTAGGTGCAGCTACATCGAAAAGCTCTGGACGTGTCCACCCCATTTGTGTAGCACCACAAACGACGACGAGGTTCAAAATTAATGATTGAAATTTGTTTGTACAATTACTATCTTGTCCTCAGTATCAAGTTCCTAAAGTCAAGATATGTTTGATTAGCGCGATGTGCCACATACGGGGTGGACATCCTCCGATGGTCTAGGCGCACGAAGAGCCTTAGGGATCGGCGGAGAAGGGAAAAGGGCGCTACGACACTAGGGAGTTCTCCTTGGAAAGAACCCTGAAGGTTGGCCTTCTCTCTTCAGTGACGATTTACGAGAGAAGAGTTCGGGGTTGTAAGATAAGACACAACAACCTGATAGAAAGGAGCCGATTGACTTCAATACTGCACTTCTTTGAGAGCCTGCGTTGCAGTAAGCACAGGGATTCCCCGTCCACCTCGTAAGATAGTTACGTTAACACTCACTATCTATGAGCATTAACCCTCCCCTTTTTTTAAAAAGCCAGAATTTGTGCGGTGCAGACCATACACCACAAGTGACGACGGCCTCAAAATTAATCTGGTTAGTAGTGGTTCATATGTTGATAGCTGATTTTTAGTAAATGATAGTTGTAATTACTGTCAACTGATCGAATACAACTGTAACAGGTTAATCATTTCATTGGCAAAAAAACATTGCATTTTCTGGAGGCCGTCGTCACTTGTGGTGTATGGTCTGCACCCGACACTTTCTGGCTTTTTGAAGGGGAGGGTACCGTAGGAATATTTTGAGCATGCGCACCCACGATACAAGAATCGAGCTCACTCACTCTAACAAGTTCTGCACATAACTAGAAATTAAGCGCACGAAATTTTGAACAAAATATCTTGCTGTTTGTTTGAAATCTTGCCAGTTACCAAAACGTTCGAAGCCATAATTATGTACGTTCATGAAAACGTATTTGATCAGAAAACAGGCACATACAGACAAAATAATTCATTAACATATCGAAATTTCACAAAGAAACACCACAGAGTTGAGCACCAGTTTGGATTGGAGAGCAAATCATGATTATGTACACGAGGAAACAAAAAATGAGTGAAAGATATAGTCAATTGGTTCAGTGAAGAGACAAAATACATCACATTCCTCTGAGGATGACTTCCAATTTTGGATAATTACAATTTTCAGAACATCCTAGATTTCAACTTGGACATAGTCTCGATGTTTCCCTTGCTGCTGTTCCCGTTGAATCTCTTCCAGTTCATCGAAAATCTCTGTCAATGGTTGAAATGTTGGTGCAGACAGCCGTGAATGAGAGAACTGAAATATGAGATGTTAAGAGTTTGGGCGTATTTGGACGAGTTGCCTCACTCTTGCCCAGAAATATGGGCTGTAAAATGTACAAAATTAATGCTAACACTTGATTTCCTTTCATATCATCCAACCGTCTTATCGTCGCAGCCTTGCACATAATAAAACGATAGATTCAAAAGAATTTCACATCTTACGCCTCTACATCGAGAAGGAGTAGTGTTTAGACATATGCCAGACTATGCGACAGCGAGTTGCGCGATTTGCTCGCGATCGTAATTCGCAGAGTCTGACAGCTGCCTTATGGAGCGTTCATAGTTGGCGATACGTGCGATACGGCAATTAGGCGATCAGGTGATTCAAAAAGAAATGTATAGGCATCGATTAGGCCCATCTCACCCCTACTGGGGTTGTTATAGTGCAACAATGCCCAAAACCCTCATCGAACTACCCACTCAAAGGTTTAGGCTGTTGGTACTAGACCGCATAGACTGTACTGCTCAGAGAAATTGTTCGATTTTCTGAGCTCTTTTGACTACTGTTTAAATCCTGTATTCTCCTCCTTTTTCTATATCGTGAGTATCTTGGAAACTATTCTGCGAAATTGTTCAGCAATGAAGCTTCATCCGAATAGTTAGCGCCTTTTCTTAACGGCTTCACATGTCTTTATTATGTGAGAGATGGCGGCTCTGTGGAGAGCGCAGACGACAAGCGTACACGCCCCCTTCCCACTGGGCGGGAACTGCAGCCAAACCGTATGCTCGTCTGGACTCTCTTCGCGAGAGATATCCCGTTTGACAGATCTCGTTCGCATCTACGCAACTGAAAGCAGCCTTACGTGGCTGTGCACTGCTAGTTCGGTTCCTTTTGCTCATTTCCCAAAATAGCCTTTAGCTGCGGGTGACTTGTCGATAGCAAAACAACTATACGCCTAACGCCTACCTCATTTGAGGATGGTCAGTGAGTTCATGAGCTTTTTTCAGCTAGAATACTTAATCTTGTTAAAGTAAAATAAGTTGAGTTGACGTACCTGATAGAGATCTTCAAGCTGTTCAACATTCTCAGATAAATTAACCGGTCCCGGAGGGAGTACATCTTCTACCCGTGCATAGATATATTCATTTAAAGCCGAATCAATGGTGTCAGGCCGTCGGAATCTGGAATTTAAATATTTGATTCTATTCAAAAACTCATTGACGAAACTATTCACCGATACCGTAACCTGACCAATCTGAACTTCCACGCGAATGTCCAAGGGAAGTAATGCGGATAGAAATCGCAACTCAGAAGTTTTCACTCCGAAAACTTCATTTTGGCGACAGGTGATGAGGTGAGCTTTTTCCGTTTGCGCCTTTTTCAGTCAAAAACCCTCCTTCAAACTCTCAAGGGCCATGTCCAGGGTCTAACAGAGGGATTACACTTACAAAGAAGGATACCCTAAAAGCCAAACAAAACATAAATCAGATGTATTGGTGGTGACGCTAAAATGCCGAGATGACCCACTCTCGCAAAATTTCGGCCATCAATGACACTTTTAGCGCTGCTGCTAGCGCAAAACTGATCATGGCGCGTGGGCAAAATCAAGAGCGATTTCAGCGCGACACTGCGGGTTTTGAAGACCCGCGCAAAAGGAGTATTTAAAAAATACAGAGGAAAAACGACCAGTGAACGTGACTGAATTGGATTTGGATTCACGCCAATCGATATCAGATATTCAGTGACAGAACTGTTCACCGAGACCGTATCCTGATCGATCCCTGAATCAGGCTGTGAGCGAGTTGATGCGGCTTCACGATGAGATAGCAGTGAATTTCGTATTCCAGAGGTCGACGAGGCTGATGACGTCATTGAAGAGGTCTGAATCAGAATTTAGGCATAAAGCGACAACTAATATCTATACTGATTGTTATAACCGATGAAGCCCTTCCTCAAATCATTAATAACGAACCTTCTGCGACACG